TCCCTTTTCACTTTTCCCTTAAAAGGACCAATATCACCCTTTCTCTTAAATCTCATGGACTCATACACAAATACTTTAAGAACGGGGCGTTATGTTTATTCTCTTCAGAATATTATTAGAAATTTAGAATCTTTTATTGATGAAATATCGATTCTGAGTGAAACAAGTAGTTGATGTAGCATCAGCCTAGAAGTAGAAAGGAAGATTCGCAAAAGATAACATAGGCCTCAGAATAGGGAGCGGTTTCGTCTTTCAATGACCCTGTTCTGCTGTGGAGTGCAAGGAGAAGAAAAATTGTGAGTTATCCCTTTATTAGTTAAGAATTCTTCAAAAACTTGGTTTTTGAATTCCGAACCGTTGTTTCTGCGAATGTTCTAATGGGATTTCGTAATTGTAGCTCTATCTACTTAATGAAATCTTTCAGCTTCGGAGTAGCATCTGATTTCTATCTAAGGAAGAATACCCAGGTAAATCAAGAAAAATCATCAACAAAAACAAAGATATATTTGTTACCACAAATACTTTCGATGGCAAATGGACCACACAAATCAATATGAGTTAATTTGAGTGGCTCGATAATTTTGGTATTGATGATGGTTGAGTGACTCTTCCTACTATGCTTTCCTAACTCAAAAGCAGCACAAATATGTTCTTCGTCAAACTTCAGAAGGAGTAGACCACATACAAGATCGCCCAGTACAAGTTTGTTTATATCCTTTAAATTTAGATGGGAGAGCCTTCGGTACCATAACTAACTATCATTTGAAGATGCTTTCGTAAGAAGGCAAAGAGAAGCACTGCTTTGGTTTTCTTCTCAGTGATTTCAGAACCCTCAACATCAAATAACACTTTTAGCTCAGTACCTACAACCAATTGTGAAACATTTCTTAGGTTATGTTGCAGGCCTTCTACATATGCTACCTTCTAAATGGAGAACTTGTCATTCGTAATCATCCTATAGCCTTTGATTTCACTTTGGCATTGTTTCCGAACTTCAATTTACCACAAACTTCTAACAATCATTATTCTCTTATTTTGTCTCTTGTTACAGGCATATGATGCGAACAGCCGGTGTCGATATACCATTCAGAGTCGTAGAGTTCGTCACACATTACCTACAAAATACAGAGAGATTTAGGAACCTAAACCATCTTGGGTCCTTGTGAGTATTTCTTAAGAACAGGAAAAATGTTATTCTTATTAACCCACAAGGATCATTTTAGCAGAACCCTATTCTTCCCTTTTATTATTTTGAAAACCGATATTTTATTATCACCAAGATTAATTTCAACTGCATTTGCTTTTTGTTGAAGAAATTCCTAATCTTTCTTAAACATATTTTTCGTAAATGTATTCTCCTCCATTTTCAAGTTAGCTTCATATTCCTCGAGAGAAATCCCTAGTTCCGAAAGAATTTTATTTTTTTCTTAAAATCTCTTGATGTGTTGATAGTTTTTTAAAAACTTGTTTTGGGAGAAAATTTGGATTTTGGCTTTTCAATATGTTTTTAAACTGGAGGTTTTGAACCTGTAGTTTTGAAAAAGATTTTGTTTTTGGTTTCCGAATTGGAAAAGAATTCATATTCTGAACTGAAGATCTTTCTAAATTAACATAATTTTGATTGGAATTCTTGTTTTTTCCAAAAATGATTCTTTCTTGTAAGATTTTCCTATATCTAGCATTCATCTGTCATTTATCAGCAACTACAGCAGACAATTGAACGTTAAACCTAGTTTTCTATTTTCATATTGGCATGCAGGTTTGTTCAGAGGAAGTTTTACTTGGAAAATCTTTAGCGCCACTAGGGACAACTTGATCGTAACGAAGGTCAACCTGATTCAGTGGTTCCGAAACACACTTTTCTTTTGTTTTCCATGAGGTCATTTTGGATAGACATGTTGTCTCATTTGCATTATTATTTGGTCCAGACCAGAAAAATGCATCACACCCATTAGCATTATCATTTTTAACCAGGGACGTTAGTTCTGATGTATCGTATTTATCAAGTCTGGTTTTTACAAAAACTTGATTTAGAACAGTTTATACTTTTGGAAAGACCATGGCATTTACATTTAAAACATTGGAACCTTTATTTTCTACATCACTAACGTGTTTAATTGAATTTATAGAAATCAACATTTTCTTTGGTTTTGGATTATATTGTACAAACTATGAGCAATCTACTATAACCTCTACAGAAATTTCACTCATATCACTTTCATCAAATTCATAAATATTTTTAGTATTAAAAGTATTTTCTGAACTTAATTTCTCGCACAACGAATCAAATTTTTGTATAGTATTTGATTTAATTTGTTCTCTATCCTTTTAGATAACAAATCTTTTGTCGTTTTTTTTTTTGCTCTTTGGACTTAATATATTCCTCGATTTTCTCAAATCCAACAGTGTAAGAATCAGAGACGTCATCTGATGACACAATTGATTCACACTTATTGCAATCTGCATCGATTTCATCCTCTATCAATTCAAGAAACGGAAAATTCATTTTGTGCAATCCCTTTCCTATTTCACAATCTAGATGCAATTGAGTAATATTGAAATATAAACGCTTAGCTATCAAATATAAAATGTTTCTTTGTTTCAAAAATTATAAATTGTTTCTGTTAAGATAAATCACCTCGTCTTTTGATTTAGTAAGATGTAATTCCAACTTCTCTATCCATTTCAATCTTATTCATCACTCTGTTGATTTGATAAGTTAAATTAAAATCGCTAAGACGTGTTCTTTTTAAACTGTCGCTAAAATTAGAATCAGTGTATTTTAAATCGTCCAATTCAGAAGCATCACGGGTAATATGAATATTAAGGGACAATAGTATAGGATGTACCTTATCGATGACCTTCTCGCATTCTGACACCCGCTCCGAAACAGTCTTCGTTGCGAAACAATTTTCGAAATTGCGATCATCGTCGGTTGCATAACCTCTCTGTTCAGAAACACTGTTCTAAACCATCAAGCATCTACCTTCAACACCCTACATCTCTAGCTTCACCACAAAACACCGTCCATGGGTTGGCTTTCTAAATTCATCATCTTCCGAGTCAGTCGACCAAACCTCAACTCGTACGAATTCATCACTTCCCTCCTGCACGATCAAAGTTGGCATCATACTTGATCCATTACTCCTCTGAAGCTCCTCAATCTTATGAAGATAGTAGCTTTCATCCTTCTTAGACTCTTTCATCTCGTTCAACCTCCTAGGAATGCATTCATTGGCAAAGTGATTCTTTCCATGACAATAATTGCATTCATAACCAAAATCACCTATAATCTTTTTCTCTTCGTCAGATTAAGAGATCTTGAAACCCTCATCTCTAGCCTTTTTGGAACTGGAATTTCCACCCCGACTATATTTGTTCTGAAAGCAAGAGAAGTTTTTCTTGTGAACTTCTTAGGGTTGGAAACTAGCAGTGCCTTGTCTTCAGTGGAGATTTCACTATCAGAAAGATCAGATTCTGAATCTTCTTTCATCACCTTCTTTCCCTTTGATACCAATTCCAGGGAACCCATACCAGAGACAATCTTTACCTCCTTCGTAACCTCATCCTTAGGGAATCTCAAAATAACTACAAGCTTCACCAAATAATAACTCTTCAATTGTTCATGTGCCTTCACAGTGGACACAATCGGTTTCTATTCTGACCTAAGGTCATTATAAACATAACTTTCTGTTTAATTACCCTTTGCTCAAGATCATATTTGAGTGTTCTACTTAGATAGTGATTGAAGCGATTGAACGTTTGATCAAGCTTTTCATCAGGTTTCTAAGCGAATAAACCAAACTCAGATAGAATAGTTATTTGCAAAGAGTATTCTAGATATGCATCTCCAAAATACGACTCCTTCAGTCTATCCCATATTTATTTAGCAGTTGTACATGCACCTATGAGATGAAAGGTATCCAGTGGAAGTGAAAAAAGTATAATTCTCATCGCCTTTATGTTACTTAACACCTTATTCGTCTCATCCTGAGCAACATTAGTGTCTTCATTAAGAAGTGCATTTTCGTCAGCCTAAGTCTTGATAACCTTTGGGTTGTAGTATGCGAAAAAATTCTCCTGAATCATCGCTTGCCATATTGTTAACCATGTTCTTCAATACCTAGAACATAGTCTTCAAAGTACAACGCCTAGACTTCGTAATCCTTAGGAAAAAGGATTGGAATCCTGGTTATGGATCCAATACTACTGGAGAGATTGAATGATAAAGTATGAGGATCTTCGTTCTACATGATATCAAAGATTCACAAAACATGGATATATAATCAGATATGTAAAATGGAACTTTGACTTTTATTGTAAAAAATCAAAGATCTAGATCTGACGTCTACAATCGATAGAAACGATAGAGATGACAATAACAGATCCTAGAAAAAAAACAAAAACCCTAATCGAAGCCGACAAAAGAGTAGTGACTGAGTTACACTATATCCTGCTCTGATACCAATTATTAAAACAATAATAACTTAAATCGATAGATTTTATAAACGATGTGAATAAATAACAGGAACGATGAAGATAAAATAGTGTCGAATGCTTATATTGAATAACTTTAGAAGAGTTCAATGTGAACTTCTCTGTGTAAACTAAGACGGGCTATACAATCGTTAGACCCAAATGTTACATGCATGCAGTATTTATAGTGTACCAAACATTTAACACAACACTTTATTAACCTAATAGTCTTCCCCTTTGTGTCAAAATATGAAGGAGAATCTTCATTGTTTCCTTTTCTGGACCTTGAATAACTTCGACATCATATTCAGAAGTCTATTCCGAACAACAATGTACCATTTGATCATGTCAGAAAATCATTTGCGATCACCAACATCATTCAATTTGCATGCTTTGGTTAATTCAAGGATGTAGTTTAGAGTAGATGTTGACTGTAAGTACTTATCTAGCAAAAAGAATATACATCCCTGAACTTTCTGATCAGTTTTCCTCTAGTACACCAAACTCCAGTTCTCTTTTCTGATTTATCCCAGCTTCATCTTATTTAGATCCTTCGATTCTTCTTTTGGTTGCATAAACAGTTTCTTTTTCAGCATAGCTGTGATTTCAACATCCATTTTTGCAAACTCTTGAATGTAGCAAATCAACATTCTCTTAAGATGAGCTATGATGGGCTTATACTTCTGTTTTTCAATGGATAAAACAAGGAACAAGGAAATCCAATCATAAGGATTCATGCATGGTAAATCAGCAAGACTGAATTCAAATTAAGTACGGTTGGTTCCTCTGAATCATTTGAATTTGATGTTGAAAAAGCTTTCGGTTTGAAAGGGAGCATACACCTTCACTGTGACAATCATTTGTAAACTCCAAGTTTGGAATTAGGGCTTTCCATATTTGAGATAGAAATAGAAGATTGTTTGATTAACATCAGAATCTGAAAAGGGGCTTTCACAGTCTTCTCAGAACACCTGAACAAAAATGCACTAGGAGTAATTGGGAAGTTGAGTTGCGATTCTGTAGTGTTTTCTAGCTCAAAGGAAGTTGAAGGCTCTAACAAATTTGTGTTTGGTTCTTCAATCGCCTCCTTCTGAATCCTTTCAATAGTCGATGTGGGAAATAAGGACTTCTAAGTTGCAAGACTGACTTTCGCAATGTCGGCTTCAGTGTTCTTTGCTTCTAACACTTGGCAAACTCTCAAGAGATTATCAAGTTCAACACCTTGCTTCTTTCTTATCAGCTTTTCACCTTCGGATAATACTTCCACTTCTTCTTCATCATCAACTACTTTCTCTTTTCCTTTTAATGCGGAAGCTTCATTATCCTTCTGATCTTTTGTGTTTGGTTTCTGCTCGGTTTCATTAGTTGGTTCCACAATCTTTTTCTTGGGATTTTCTTTCATATCTGTTTCTCCCCTATTTTTAAAAGAACATCAGATTCTGGAACACCCTCTATCTTGTTAAGCATTGAAAATACTGGTTCTAGTTTGTCGGCAAGATGTTGTTCATCCAACACAGTGAGAAATGAATCAAGTGTTTCAACAAGTAGTCGCGAATATTGATTTACTTCCGAAACACGTCTCTTGATGATAATCTTCTCGGATTCCAAATCGTCAAGACGCTTGTTGGTGTAGTTCAACTTGAGTGAAAGAACATTAACCTTCTCTGTGTTCTGAGAGAGTTTATCCATGATAGTGCTCTCAGTAGCAAGATTTGCCTTAAATTTCTCAATCTTGGATACAACAGTGGTATTTAGTTTATCACTATCAGCCTTGATCTCGGATCGAACATGATAAAAAGCTTCCTTTTCAACTTGTAAATTGGAACTAAGACCAGAAATAACCTTATTGACACTCTCGGTATTTTCATCAGATGACTTTCGGAAGTCAGACATGAATTGTGTAACTTCATTATGTAGCCTTTCAACTTTTGCGGTCGCAACTAAAATGGTTGACTCTGATACTTGGATAGTCTTTGTAGCTTCTGCAAGGACTTTCACATTTTCTTTGGTGAGCATCTCAACCCTTGAGTCATTGGGGCATCATCATCATTGTTGTCCTGATGAATGGTAAAGGGGTTGAAGGTAAAATCTAGAAAAGCCTCTTGATCATCCCCAAAAACAATGTTTGGAACATCTTCTCCGAGAGGTGAAGCTGTAGATGTTCTTGGGCCCATAGTAACACCAAAATCAACATTTCCCCCCGTATCAGATATGTTGACATCTGACATCAGAGTACTAACTATGAAAGTTTTGTTGCGATTGAGTCAGTATAGAAAAGAGTGGAGAATGGAACAGAAATATGTGGTAGAGAAACACCCATAGAGAAATTTCTTAGTGGATCAATGGAGATTGATATAGTGGTGGTGATTGGAGATGAAGTGGTTATCAGAGATGGTGGTGGTTTGTGCATCTAAAAGAAATCAGAAATAGGTGTAGAAGCAGAAGGTGGAGTGGATACCTTCCGAATTAGTTAATTGTAGGTGGTACCAAAGTGGCCATGGTATCTTCGACTTCATTCTGAACTGGTTCACCTCCACAAATATCCGATTGAGTTCTTGACACAGAAGCCTCTTGAATACGAGATGTTGATCTCAATTTCCTAGCGGCCTTCTTAACCTTCTTCTTCGGAGTTTTAACAGCTTCGGTAGGGCCAGGTTTTCCCTTTCATTTTGCACCCCGCTTCATTTTGTTTGCTTCATGAATCCCATTTCACAAGTCATCTGACGTAGGGTGAGCACTAGAAATAAACTGAAGGTGACACATTGTCAGAGGGAACCTTCACAAGCATCACCTCTATAATCAATCCCACAAATGTGAAGTTCGTTGGGCCATACATAACATATGTCGTTGTCTAATGGACTAAAATCGCAGCAACAACATAATCCTCTGAGATGGGAACTTTAAAGTGAACAACTGCTAGTTTAACATTGATTGACCAAAAATGTGCACATTATATCTCAATGGTGCGAGTAAAAGACGAAGTTCTTTGAATAAGTTGCATCAGAGGATGGAGCCATAGTCCAAATTAATCCCCTAGTAGAGGCCATAAATAATGGTGCAAAAGAGCTTGCTAGCACTGTCTGGTCTTGCTACTCGTTTCAAAAATATATTAAATAACAGTTTAAATAGCCAGTTCCGGATTAGAGAAAGATTAGGCTTCCTGAACTTTGACAACAATATAATATCTCTAATATCCCATTTTATAAAACATGCTGATGAGATTAGTTGATGAAATGGAGTCTGGATCAACAAGTCCTTCAGATTAATCAAGCCATAACATTCTGCAAAAACAAGCTTTATTGATCCAGATCCTGTTAGTGGCAACTTCAAAGGTTATGAGGTAATCAGGTTGAATGTATGTTGCAGACCAGTATGCATAGGAGAGATGAACCAGTGGAACTGAATCTGCCATTGTCAAAGATTGAGCAATTGGGGAAAACCATAGACATTCATTCATCGGCTTCAGGCGGTTATTGTATTGTGACGAATCTAGATTAAGTATTAGATTTTGACCAGGCTTTAGGTTCATCATTATCTAAGATCTATTTTGGTCAACAAACGATGTTGTTTCAGATGATCCATCTGTGGTAGCAGTTGAAGAAGATAAACACTGAGTAGAGAGAGAAAAGTGTTTTTCTTTTTGCCTTGAGATTATTTGAGAGTTGTGATAGAAAAGCAATCTTTGGAACCTTTATATGCGTCATGATAGGTGAGAGAAAACCTAGATAAATCGGCCTTGAAAGACTTGACAACTATATGTGTCAGGCGGTGTTGTAACTGAGACACATGATGTCTGGGATTTAAAATAAACACGCCATATTTGAATCCTTATCCCCAACAAACCGCATTTTTAGTTTTCATGTTTCGGAATAAGATGTCACTTCACTTTAACAAGTTCTCTGAATAACAATAATCCACACGAATTAGAATCAGACTTGGAAAAATCATAAAGATTTTTGTGCAATAGTGTGGCAAAGAAAAAGAAATAAAAGAAAATAATTTTTTGGGATTTAGTGATGTCAAAGAAAAACAACATGAAATTCATATTGATCTGAGGCAACGATCTCTTCCTTCTAAATCAAGTGAGACTCGGAAGTGCTTGTGTGGCATCCCATTGAATTATGATCATCTATTTATTAAGAAATAGTGAAAGGCTTCTTTTAAGTAGCATGCATGGCTGGCTTAGGCTTAAACCGATTTTTGAAACTCAACATAAGTTCGAAAATATGAAAGAAGTACTTGTTTGAACAGTGTAGCCATAAGAACAAGTAAGCTTTGGATATTGTTTAAGTGGATGGAAATAAAAGAAATCTCAAGAAAAAAAAATTGGGTCTTTTGGGAAGAAAAATCTTAGGTCGAGAACATTTCATTAAGATCAATCAAAAAGAAAAATGAGAACTCACACGAAAATTGTACTAACCAATAGGGTATTAATCATCAATTAATAGGTGAAAATTTCTAGAGCATTTGATTATTCACCATCAATGAAGAAATGGGTTTTGTATTTTGGATCTCACTTAAAATCATGGTTATTACGATTTCATGATCATTAACACAGAAGTGGTGTAACCATAAACCTTAGTGGTAGATGTTGAGAGCCTCAAGGGTTATATTTTGTCAATGTGAAGTTGATGGTGAAATAGGAGGTTGGTTCCGAAGAAGAAAGTGTATGTCTAATATAAATTATTGACAAAGCAGTCAACTCATAACTCGGTATGAGAAGAGTAAGGTAGCTTAAAGACTCATGTGAATTATCAGCCTGATTGGGAAGAAACGATCGAAATAAAAGTTTCATTAAGGATTCAAACATAGAGTCTTAGAAGCTTAGGAAAACATGCAGCAGCATGCTTCTAGAGACACTTAGCTAGTATATGGATTCAGAATTATACCTTCCCCGTCGTTCTAAATGGTGGTAACATTAATTTGTACCTAAATCAGAAATGTAGAATATTCTTTAATGCACTCATGTGGTAACATTAATTTGTACCTCTGGTGTTGGTTCAGTGGCAACACCGAAGGGGATCAGAGATGACCTGGGAGCCAGAGCGTACGATGCAGGAGCAGCATCCGGAGCTGTTTTTAGAGCGAGACTTCGAGGGCGAAGTCTAGTCCTAGTGGGGGAGAGTTGTAACAGCCGGATTTTATCAGGTATTTTGTATATTGTTTTTTTTGTGGATTTGTGGGGGGACTCGGCGAGTTGGAGCTTAGACTCGCCGAGTAGGGATGCGGATCTGGACGCGGGATCACGCCTGGACTCGACAAGTCCAGGATATGGACTCGGCGAGTCAGCACTGTGTAATGAAACCCTAATTTCTCGGGTTTGAGACTTATTTAAAGGGCCTAATGGCCATCATTTGTGCTCACCAGCCCCTTGAGTGAAACCCTAATAGAGTGTGAGCATTTGGAGCTAAGTAGGAGGCCATTATTGACCTTGGAGGTGCCATTGTTGCAAGGAAGGAGAAGAGCTAGCCAAGGGAAAGCAAGAGGAGCCACTTCTGTGGGTTTGGAGTCCAGAGCATCACTTTTGTGGTAATAAGTCCGAGTTACCTTCTTCCTTGTTGTTGTTTATCTAGATTTAGGGTTTGTTGAACCCTTTTATGGCAAGATCTAGTGTCCTCTTGGTCCCTTATGAGGTTTGAACCATAGATCTGGACCCTTAGAGGTCCAGAGTGTCCCTTTACCCAAGCTTTTTGGGAATCAATGGAGGATTTGGATTGGAATCCTCATGCCTTAGGTCAAAAACTCCATTTATGAGCTATGGGGTGTGTTATGGGCACCAAGATAGGAGCTTTATGTGATGAATCAGTCGAGGGAGGCCAGATCTATAGTTTATGGAAGCAGATCTGACCTTAGAAGCAAGTTGGAGTGGTTGCATGGCATGGACTCGCCGAGTCTGTTCATCCGACTCGGCGAGTAGCTTGAAGATTTCCTTGGGACTGCTCAGCGAGTGGTCCAATCGAGTCATGGGTAGACTCAGTGAGTCAGGGTGAGTTGGAGAGGGATGACGAGTGGACTGAGTCAAACTTTGACTCGCCGAGTTGTCCTTGAGACTCGGCGAGTTGAGTCGGGGTGGCCCCGCGATTCATTCAGGTGAAACTCATCGAGTAAAAGGGGGGGGGGGGAATACTCGACGTGTTGTAAGGGGATTTCAGAGGATTGGTGAAAACGTCTAGACTCGCCGAGTCGCCATGGTACTCGCCGAGTTCGGTCAGAGTTGACCGTTGACTAGAGTTGACCTGTGTTGACTTCTTATGGATAGTCGACCTTAGAGATATAAAGTGTTAATTAGAAACATATAATGTTATAGGAGGATTAGATCTCGGAGGATCGAGCACGAGGGATTTCCAGGATTCGTGAATTAACGAGATACGCGAGGTGAGTCTTCTCACTATACTATAATAC